CAGCTATAAAATTCGTTTAGCTAAAGATAGTTCCATACAAATTTTTTTTTTGATAAGTATTTATTATTTTATTTAATTATAGTCAAACTAATTTTGAATTGTAAGGTATTTGAATTGTATTTTTTGCGTTATTTTAAAGAATATAATTATGCAAGGCAAAATGTAAATTTGAGCAAAATCGGTCCAATATTTCCTGCTAAATCGATATTTAATTCCACTTCTCAGGAACTATTCGTCTGATTTCGCACAAATTTTGGATTTTACCTCGCAAGATTGCTTTCTGTAAAATTAAGGAAAAAAAATTATACCTTACAATTTGATAGTTTTTCGACCATTCTTAAATAATATGATAAAAAATAATAAATATTTACTGGAAGTTATTTTTTGCATGGAATTATCTTTGGATAAACGAAATATATAACTGTGTGTAAAAATTCTTAAATTCGCTTAAAAAGTTCTGGAGATATAGCGAATTACGGAAGAAATAAAATTAACGTTAAGAGAGCCAAACTTTATATATATTAACTTTTTATTATACCCCATATATTGTGGGGGTCTAAAATCCGAATCTGACTAAAAAATTTTAAAGTTTATTCAGAGAAAATACGTTTTTATATCTGACTTTGAAACTTAATTATCGTCTGCACTAATTAATTAGCATACTTGAGGTAACCCCCTCAAACCATTAAGAATGAGCCCCAAAACGTGAAAATCCGATCATTAGGTCAAAAGTTATTCAGGATGGTCCATTTATTTTGTCACTCTGTGCGTTAAAAAAATTGATAATAATTCAAAATGCTAATTAAAAAAATGCATATAGCTTGATATGCTTGCTTAAAATGGTTCAAAATGCGTCTTTGTGATATCTGGCATAGCTTAAAATGTGGTTTGAAAACATGGGCATGGCTTAAAATGCGTGTTTAAAATGTGAATAGAATTTGAAATAAACATTTAAGAAAAAAAGCCATAGACCAAAATACACGTTTAAAAAATTAGCATAGCATTTTATTATGTTTTTTAAACTACAGCTATGATAATTGTATTTTAAAATAATTTTATCGGATAATTATTTGAAGTGTTTAAGTGAATTTTCATACTGGTTAGGTACGCATCTTTTCCAAGAGCAACGTGTTAACAAAATTTTGTTAACACTGAGTTTATCAAATAAAGGCATGTTTTGCCTTATATCCATATTTTTAAACGCGGAGCTTTGTCTAAAATAAAAAGTTCACTAGGAATTTATGCATATTATATGATCAAAAAAGGTGATGCAAGGCTCATATGCACCTGAAAAAATTAAAAAGTGGTAGTAATAGTATTATAATTTTTTTAATGTTATTTATGTTTGTAGTTACTAGAATATTTCATTCATTCTAAGTAAATATGTTTAGATTCGAAGGAGGATTTTAATTTGATAGTGGATGCTAAGATTAAGAAATTTCCTGCTTTGTTGAGAAAAAAAATTGATTCCAGTTATTAATTTCTTACAGGTGCGTATGAATCAAGTTGGTAACATCCATATTAAATATTAATCTGCATTTTAAATGATAATTAATAAGTTTAAACATAATGCAGATATTTTTATGAAAATGGTACACAAGAGATGAGAAATAAATTCAAAAACTATAATTTTTTAAAATGTAAATGTTGTTTCTTTGGATTATTTTAAAACGTTGATATCATACTAGGAGTTTCAAAAACTAAAATCGATATTCACTTTAAAATTATAATTTTATGAGCATAAAAATTTAATCCATTACTCAGTATTCGCTCTGTACCTCCGAGAATAATTAATTGATTAAATAAGATTTAATAGACGTAGTAATTGGAGATAAAAGAAACAACTCTTATTTATATTCCAAAATAACTTCGAAAAACATTACCAAATAATTGATAAAAAGAACGAATTAAGGCCTTTCTTCCACGCAATTTAAACCATTTTGAAATAAATAAATGATACTTAATATTTATTTTATTCTAGTATTTTTTTTAAGAATAAATATTTCTTAGAGAACAGATGATACAGATCTTCTATTATATTTCAAACGACTTTTCCAGCGGAGGAAGATTTTCTTCTTTACCTTTGTTTTAAAATCTTTCAAAGCTTTTATTTATCTTTTAAACAGTTCTTTCTCTCATTTATTGAAGTGGCTATAAAATTGTCATTTTTTATTTATTGTATTTAAAGCATAGTTTGAACAATTATTCTTTTAAAGGTACGACTGTTCATCCAGTATGCTTCTTTCATTTATTGTTACAATTTACCTTTTGTTATTTTTCATTTTTACATTTATTGCGTTGACTTTAAGTAACAGCAAAAAGCCTCAAATTACGAAGATTTGTAAGTATTTCAAATATTTATTCATTTCCCTTTTTTAAAAATTAATTTGTTTATTCATGCAAAGAATCTTTTGTGCATATATGCTTATTTATTTTCTCTGTTGCTCCTTTATTCTTTTTGTCAATGCTTTTTATGGCGCACTAAAAGCTTCTGACAAATACTCTTTCTAGGGTTTTTAGATGAATAAAAATACGATTACTCTTTCAGATTATTAATTTATTTTAAATTAAAACACAAACATCAAATACTTCAAATATATACTTAGAAGGCAGGGTGTTCTGTTATCATTGCCTTTATTATATATTTTTATAATCTTAGTCAAAATGAAGAAAAAGAAGGCTTAAATTTCTTTATTCTACATGAAAATTAAGTTCTTAAAAATTTATCATGTATTTGAAGTTTATGCTTACTATATAGGTTGTTAAGCACCCGCTCCTTCATTTTAGATATTTTTATAATCCTTGCAGACTATCTGACATATTTGATGTTTTAATTTGATTTGTTATGTTATTATAACGTTCTTCCTTGCTTAAATATTATTTTACAATCCTTAATGTGTATATTTTTGCCTTTGGAATAGTATTTTAAAAATGTATATAAAGAGTGCTAATTACAGAACATCTTTTGTATCTTATAGTTAGGTCTTTTTTATAGTCATAGGATAAGTATGTGTCAATGAAGCAATTTTCCTTCTCATATTTGTTCATTGAAGAGTATTTTAAAACTTATATGGTAAGTTCTTCGAGTGCTTTAATTTTCAACTTAGCTTATTTTATTTCAATTTTAAATAAAGAATATAATTTTTTGTGAAAGTACTTTGTACGAAAAAATGAACAAATGTGTATTTGTCATAGTCCCGAGGCATTTTATTTGAGGATATATACAGTCTCTTGCCAAGTTATTAGACGCACTATAAGAATGTGCCACATCTTTTATTTCGTTTCGGGCTCAGTTAGTCCCGTAACTCAATTTTCTTCTTTATGCGTCGTACTCTAGCTTCAGAAACCTTCAATCTTCGTGATATTTCGTGGTTTGAAAATATCTTAGCATTTAGGAGGGCCTTTACTTCAGCTTTTTTACATGGTGAATGATCGCCTTTTTTTACCCTTGATTAAAATGTTCCAATTGATTATTTAAACGCTGAACATAAAATAAACAAATAACTTCTCAGTATGAAGCTGTGAAGCATATGAACTCAGCGCATAAAGCCACAAAAACACGTCTGTAACTGCCGCACACGAGAAAGTAGCTGAAGCTGGTTTGCACTTGTTTACGTTCATTTATCAATTTTTTAACATTGCAATGCAATACGTTAAAAATAAAGAGGTAAGTATATAGTTTGTCTAAAGTAATAACTCCTTTTGCCATTCGTCTGGACCCGTGGCGGTGACTAAGATAACGAGGCATAACTATTTGAATTTGGGGGTGTGGAATCATTGTTTAAGACAGGTTTTGGCTCAAGTCGATTTCTTTTCTTCGATCTACTGTGTTAGCCTAGAAGTTACCCTCCCTGAAATGCGCTATTCTTGTTTCCATAGCAGCAGATGGCCTCAGACTTTGTGGCGTGGAGAGTTCTTACCGCAGACAAACTTTGAGCAAGTACTTTATTTACGTCCCACTAGAGCTGCACAATGGGCTATTGGCCATGGTCAGAGAAACATCCCTGAGGATAATCCGAAGAAGTCCCATCGTAATTTTGATCCTCTACTGAAGGAGTTAAAAATAAATACAAACAGGAAATATATTAAAAATCTCCTGAATGAAAACCCATTACATGTATGTTTAAATAGAAAAGAAATTGCATATAATCTCGTGCAAAACATGTAATTATTAAAAAACTACAGTGTGGCTAATAATTTGGCCTTAGATTGTAGGTATAATAAACTTAAGAAAACCTTTCGCCAGTCTTAAAGATTGGAAGAATTGAAAAAAAAAAATTCTAATTCCCTCGATAAATCATAATTTGTTTCACTACCATTGCAAAATACTCTATAAAAAAGCCTACAGCTATTTTATTTTAATAAAAGAAATGGGGTATTGAAATATTTAATAAAATCATTATGAAACATTTCATGTAAAATATTAACTTAAAGAAATCAAATTAAGTTATAAAAAATTAAAAAAACTTTTTTTTAAATTTAAATAAGAAGTTTCTTCAGAATAATTTTCCAAACTAGGAGTTTTTTCTTAAACTGTTCCAATAAAGTAATTATTTCCAATAAAATAGGGTAAACAGTTCCAATAAAACAGGGTATTAAAATATTTAATAAAAACATAATAAAACATTTCATGCAAAATATTAACTTAAAAAGATGAAATTAAGTTATAAAAAATTAAAAATACTTTTATTCAACTTAAATAAGAAGTTTCTTCTTAAGAATAATTTTTCCTAACTAGGAGTTTTTTTCTTAAACAGTTCCAATAAAGTAATTACGTCATTATGACACCATCTTCTTTCTACTTATCTTAATTTAAAAAAGAATAAATATCACATTGCTTCATTAAATTCCACTCTACGTCTAATTCATTGCTATTCATTTTAAGAAAAATAAAACAAGTAGTAGTCGTTACTGTTCTGTTCAGCAAAAGAAACAAATCATACGTAAGCTGAAATATCGAAAAATCATCATAAAATCATTAGGTTTTTCTCATTACTCACAGGCGCTTTTCGAATCCAAGTAAATCACCATTTCTAAAGGAGTTCCGGGTTGCACATTGGTGGCAGTGTCCAGGAACCTTCCGTTTTGACGAATGGCTAAATTCAAATATGGTGTTGGTGCATGAGCCACAATATTGGTGATGTTTAATTCTCTGAAAAATAAAAGGGAAAAATGAAGATACAAAAGATTGTTGTGTTTCCAGTTTACATTTTCTTCACAAAATAATGCATTATAATGATTTCCTTAGTTTGTAGTTAGTACTAAATTTTCTGGAAAGAAATTTATAATGGAATTTTTATGCAGTTAAGTAGAAATATATCTACTTAAATGCCAGTTCTTTATTTTGATGCAATATATTATAAAATAAATGTGTCTTAATCGATTATTTGTATACTATTGCTTTTTAAATAAAAACCTCATACTTTAGAACACTCATAAGCAGGCTGTGCCACTTGTAACATTTTTTTGCTTTGAAAGCTGCTAGTATTATGATTAATTGCGGGCAAGAGTGCTCAACTTAGTTTTCTACAAAAAAAGAATATATAAAAGAAAGATAATAAACAAAAATAGTCTTCCTCCTTATCCTTCTCTTGGCACATTGCTGACCGATAATTTTTGCAATATTTTCTAATAATTATTAACTTTTGTAATATTTTCTGTAAACTGGCCAGATAACAGTGACAGAGGACTGAATTTTTCATATTATTATTTGTGTTACTACAAAACCAGGAATACAATAAAAATTATATAAATAATTTTTTTCTTCAAATTATATATAAGCTGTATTTAAATTGGTGATTTACAGGAAGTGAAGAAGTTTTGCCATTTTAGAAGTAGAAATGTGTGAGAAAACACAATATTGATTAAATATGATACATGAAAAACGTAATTTGAACCATCGAAAAAAGAAGTTGGTTTTTCTTCTCCCCAAATATAAGATTAAAATATTAAGATTGAGTCCCAGAACGTGAAGATCCAATCATTAGATCGAAAGTCATTCAGGGTGGTCCATCAAAATTTCAGATTTTATACTTGAGCATTTTACAAGCTCTGGTATTTCTCACACATAATAAAACAACATATACGAGAAAATTTTATTTCCTACATAGAAGAAAATACAAAAGCATTATTAAAAAAAAAAGCGCTTTTTTGAAAAATTTCAAAGTGTGATTTATTATTACATCGTTCCAAGCCCTTCAACTTCAAGGATTTAAGGGCACGGAGAAAAAAATTCGTAAAATTACAGTATGGCAATGGCATTTCAGATGTAAACAAGTAAAATTCTTGTATAAAAACAGAAATATACGGTTTTTAAACGATTCATTTGATGATTTTTCTGATCTAATGGCAACGGTTTGCCGAAAATTCTGATTTTCAAAATTATAGGTCTTAATACCACACATTTAGTTAAAAAATACAAAACTGAAAAGTAAATTTAACCGAATAAATGGTTTATATGCCATGCTCTACTGTTTCATAACGAAAGTACCAAATTTTATTACATTTACCAAATTTTATTACGTATAATAAAATCATATTTTATTGTTATTTTACCAAAATTATTATCAAAACGTTTCCTTAAGAAACATTGAGGTTTTTGTTTTTCCCATAGAGCCAGAGCCAGTTTACGATATTCTGTTAGTTTTGACCATATTGTTTCCTCAGTTAATGGAGTGATTATCTCTTTTATTACATTGTATTTTTCTTAAAAATATTTTTAAAAAATGTCTGAATTTTCTCTTTTTTAATAAATGTTTGGAAAAATAAATATACAAAATTTTTAAACCAAAATCCTCTTTCTATTTTCAGTGATGTTTTTCTCATATGTTTAAGAAACTGAAATGGCAGATAAAACAAGAAACTTTAAATTACATACGATTAGAAATGTTCTAGACTCTATTTTGTGACAAATTACTATTTCAATATGAGACTTTTAATAAGAGAAGAATATCGCTGCAAAATTTTTAAAAAGTTCATTTCCCGACAGTTTATAGGAATTTCGTAACAGCATCCTTAGACTATTAATTGAAACTCAATGGATCGTTATTCGAACAAAGAACGAACATAACTTTCCAAATATTTCACGTCGTTCAAATAGTCTCCCGATTAACACACAGATGGCGTAAACAGAAACAAATCTATATGTCTGATAAACCTTAAAGACTTTCAAAAAGGTATCATGGCATCTTGAACATTACTTACTAATATATCAAAGTTTCAGTTACAAGTTTTGAGTTAAAGCAAAAAGTACAGACAGAACGATCGATACAAAAAATTTCGCTCAGCAATTAAATACTCTTTTTAAGGACAAATATATCAATTAAGAGCAGAAATTTCTTGAAAAATGTTGCAAATTTTTGTTGTTGTCTGAAGTAACCCTTGGTCAGTGGTTTACTGTGTTTTACCCTGCGTCAGTGATATCAGTATCAATATAACCCTGTGTCTGTGATATCAGTATCAATATTACCCTGTGTCAGTGATATCAGTATCAATATAACCCTGTGTCAGTGATATCAGTATCAATATAACCCTGTGTCAGTGGTATCAGTATCAATATAACCCTGTGTCAGTGATATCAATATCAATATAACCCTGTGTCAGTGATATCAGTATCAATATAACCCTGTGATTCCACCTCAAAATTTAAATAAAATCTTCAAAATTGTATTGGACGACTGTAAAGTAAATTTGTTGGTGATATGTAACACCCTGAAGATATTAAAAGATTAACACATCTTAAGACATATATCTTAAGATCTAACCTCAAAGTTCAGTTCTAATAATTATTGACATTTAGGGCACTTTTCTTAAAAAAGAATAATAATTCGAGAAAACGCTTCATTGTTACGCTTTAATGTAAGATAAATTAAATAACAGAGTTATAAAAGAGGAACGATTGTGGGAAAGTATTATCTGTGAAAGTACATTTGTTGATCATAAAACATAGACATAGAATAATTTAGTCAAACAGAAAAATTCAGAACTGATGTTGAAGATTCACAGAGGATAACGAGCTTTATTATCTATGATATCCTTTATGACTATCAGAGAAAGAAAATGCTTAAAAAAATGATGTTTAATAATAATAATAATAAAACACTTGGAATTTTATACATTTTAAATCTAGTAGAATTAAAAAGAGATATTCCTTTTAGGAAACGTTTTATAATTGCTTTATTTTATTTTATTTTATTTTATTTCATTTTATTTTATTTTATTTTATAACCATAATTGAACAGCCGGTCCAAATTTGGGATTGAAACTACTAATACTCAACTCCATAGCTTTGTTATTCTGAATCCAATCCAGAAGACAAAGAAACTCCTGGATCAAGTATTGGAAGGAAATTTTTCGTGTAGGAATTTTTTATGGAACTAATCCGCATTTGCGTTACACGGAGAGGAAGATCTCGAGAACCTCCCATGGTTAGCTAATCTGCAAGGGGACTCTAACCTATGATCCGACTACCACTGAGGACATTTCACGTCAGCATTGTGGTTGGTGAAAGGCGGACGCTGAATTCTTATCGACCAGTCATCACTGGGATTTGAACCCGGGTCACATCATTGGAAGGCAAAAGCTCTATTCTCAGAGCCATCGCGGCTCGCTTTATTCGATTGTAACATATACACTTTAATGTATCAAACCTAATTTTAAAGTTTCATTGACGATTAAAAGCCTTATTATCGATTAAATTTTTTATGTCTGCAAAACTAAAAAGAAGCTGTTAAAAAAAGCTGAAAAATAATAATGAAATGCTAATAATTTTATTTATTGTAAAGTAAAACTAGTGAACGTCAAAAGCATTATTATCGATTAAATTCTTTTATGTCTACAAAACTAAAACAAACTGTTAAAAAAGAGGTCAAAAATAATAATTAAATGCTAATAATTTTATTTATTGTAAAGTAAAACTAGTGATGATCAGAAGCGTTATTATCGATCAAATTCTTTTATGCCTACAAAACTAGAAGAAACTGCTTAAAAAAAGAAAAGCTCAAAAACAATAATGAAATGCTGATAATTTTAAAAGTAAAACTAGTAAACTAGTATACTTTAAGTAAAACTAGATAATAAAATTTAAACGCAGTATATATTGATGGCTGCATAGTAACAAATGCACTTGTCAAAAGAACTGCTAAAGAGCCTTATTATCTATTAAATTCCTATCAGACTAAGAGAAGGGTCGAGAATAATAAAAGGTTTGTAATTCTAAAAGGAAACTTACTCTGCTTCAAAAAATCCTGCAGGCAATACATTTCTCTTCAGTCTTTTTTCCCAACTGGCTGGTAAACTTTTGTCTCCAGGGAGGACGCACTTTACCAAAAGAACCTCTCTTTTCTGTTCTTTTTCGATGATAATTCGGTTGTAGTAAAGAGTCTGGCCCTGTGCGAGATAAAAATACCTCATCATTTTTCATCAGCTCTTAACAAGAAACAAATGATTTTGTAACTGCAACTTAACAGATATTATTTGGAATAGAATCTTTGGAAGTGGATTTATTTGCTAAATGGGCTCATATTTGTCCACAGAAAAGTCAATAGCTTAATTACGTTGGCATTTTCAAAATGCACCCAGAATTGGTTAAAATTGATTGTTTTATTTAGTACTTTAGATTATGTTGATTTTTTCTAAGCATAAATATGCGTCGTTAATTAATAACTCAAATAAATGAACAATCTTCAATGAAAAAAAACGCATATAAGTGGTTAAATCTGATTATAATAATTAACATAATAGTTGATGCGTTTTTTATAACAAAAAGTGGTAGTTAAACCTAAATTATTATTTTACTTTTTACTTTAAATTATAATTAAGTAAGGTCTTTTTAAATTCTAGAACATAGAAATTGGTTGAAATTTGTGTTTAATAGAAAAAAATTGGTTCAGAAAATAAGTGACTGCTCATATCTGTAAGAGGGAAGCCCAAGTGTTTGCCGGAAAGAGATAAAAAGTAAACAGTAGTTTGCGTTTAACAGAAAAAATTGGTAAAAAAAATAAGTGACTGCTCATATTCGTAAGAGGGAAGCCCAAGTGTGTACAGGAAAGAGATAACAAGTAAAAAGTAGTTTGCGTTGAATAGAAAAAATTGGCGCAAAAAATAAGTGACTGCTCATATTTGTAGGAGGGAAGCCCAAGTGTTTACAGGAAAGAGATAACAAGTAAAAAGTAGTTTTTTCAATTAAGTTTACTCTCTTTGTCTCATATGAAAAATTAACGAAGAATTGGTTAGAATTGGTTATGGTTATAAACGTGGCTGTTTCCAATATACAAATGAAATATTTTTATTTATTACTTTGGTTTTGTAAATTAATTTTTAGCATGCTGCAATATATGACTTTGATAAACATCCATGTTGTACGCAGAATTGGTAAAAAATATTTCATAAACTGCCATGCTGATCTCGTGGTTGTTTTTAATAAACGGTAAAATTAAAAATAAAATTTACTGTTTTTATTTATTTACCTTACACTTAAAAATTACTATCAAATTTTTTAAAATATTTTTATATTGATATTTCTGTTGTAAGTTTATTCAAAAAGCAAACTTTTAATTTTTGTCAGCAATGAAAATGTCACGTTTTCCCGAATTTTTATTTGTTTCATTTTAAAAGCTTCTTTACTTCTTCTTTTCACAAAGAAGCTTTCCCTGAAAGAAAAAATATTGTTTTGCTTGTTTATCAAAAATATTTTATGGACTAAATTTTATTTTTTCTACTCTGTCTAGCAAACGGTGTGCAAAGTAAATTCTTTAATTAGCTTGGGACACAAGTTCAAAGCTTACAAGCAACATTTTGGATAGGATATCCTTTGTCAAAAGACGATGTTATTAAAATTATCTCTCACAACTTAAAATATTTAACATAAAGAGAAGATTGTAGAGAATTTATTCAATTATTTAGTATCACAACTTCCTAGTAGTTACTTGCTTTAGTAATAAGTGATAATATCTCACAGTTTAAATCTCCCAAATATTACGTAAAACCGTGTTCATGAAATAAAAGTTACAATATTTATTTAATTACAAAACTAGTTTATTCTTTAAACAAAATGTTTTATCTTTTTACTCCCTATTATCGTATTTGTAAATTCTGCAGGGATAAAAACATTAAATAAATATTTTTAAGCTGATTTTACATAACATAGTCGAGGATTATATAATGAATATACTATTTAAAGTATATTATTTCCCTAATATAACAATTAAAAACCTATAGGAATATCCTACAAAGAGAAAAAAATTCTGGAAAAATTACCGTACTGTATGATAATAACAATTTTGGTAAAAAAAACAGGAAAAAAAAGCATAATTTTGAATAATAAAACCAAAACGCATGATATTTTAAAGTATTCGTTTGGTAATTTTTCGGTTGATATGGCAACGGTTTGATGGAAATTCTGCTTTTCAAAATTATAGTTCTTATTACCACACATTTAGTAAAAAATACAAAAGGGAAAAATAGACTTATTCCAATAAATGGCTTTAATGCCATGCTCTAAAGTATTACAGCAAAATTACCAAATTTTACCGTCTTTACCAAATTTTGTTACACATGTTATAAAACCACACGTTAAAATCACACATGATATAAAACCATGCTTTATTGTTAATTTTACCAAAAATTCGAAAACAATTACCGATCTTTTTGATATTCTCATAGAGCCAGAAACACAGTAAGTTTTACCATATTTTGCATATTCTGATAGCTTTGACCATATTTTTTTCTCAGTGCAAGTTTCTCATTAATATTCTTTTTATATCAAAGGAAATGTCAATTTTCGTGCTTTCTTCGAAGTAATTGTTTTGATTAAATACTAATACAGTGATGTATCTAAAAATTTAAAAATGTGATTTAATTTGCAACACCAATATATATATATATATATATATAGGTAATGGACATCAGATTTAGGTTGTGTGGTTGAGTTGTATATTGCTCGGTGAACCATGGAAATTATTAGTTTATCTAATTATGCCGCATTCTAATAGATTCGTATTCCAATAGTCCAGGGTCATCAATTGAAAAGTTCAGGACAATAGAAGTTCCTCATATGTGGAAGGAATGGAGAAAATAGAGAGGTTATTACATCGAGTCCTCTTTTACCCGGTCATGAGTTTGGCAGATTAGCCGACTCTGCTAAAGATTGTGAGCAGCTGTAAGGAACTAAGTGGCTTCATTTGATGTTCAGCACAAACAATAAGATTACTAAGCATTCGATGACGGAGAGTATAAATTCATAATCCTTATCACATGGCTCAGCCTGCAGATTTCGAAGAACGTGCCATTAATTCTCATTGCTTGTGTGTAAAATTCGGGTTGTTAAATCGTATTAGGTAAAAACACTTAATGGACGATTTTTCTCAGAGTTAGCAGTTTAAATACCATCTTTTTTTATGTTTATTTAACTGTTTTGGTTGAATATGGTAAAGTAAGAATTAAATATATTGTTATGTAACCATTTTTTCAAAGAAATTACTAACAGTGCAATGACTTGAAAACCACTAAGTTAAAATTACTCATTTGTAACAGGAAGAACTGTAGTGAATAATTTTTATTCGAAACTATATTCATTTAGTTGTTTTTAATATGTTTACTGAAGGAACAACTTTTTAAAAGTACAAATCATTAAATAATTGTGTTTAGCATTTATTTAAAAAAAAA